ATAAGAATAGAGTAATTAATTAATTATGCATGCAAAATTATTCTAAAAAGGAAACAACGTAGATCTTGTTTGCAAAATTAGTCCCTTCCTTTTTTACCAAAATTAAGTAATTATGCATTCGAAATTTCTTTTAATTTATCATTCTATTATTCTTAAAAGTATTTTCTTTTAAGAATAGAGTGATTAAGTAAATAATTACCTATTTAATTAGGCATAAATAATTACTTTTTGATAAAATAATCAGGGGTAAATTATCCCAAGTAATTATAATAATAATAGTAGTAATAATTAGGCATAAATAATTACCTATTTAAAAAGGAAACAAAATATAAAAAATCTCTTGCACCGTTCCTTCTTTTTTTATCACAATCAAGTAATTAGACGAAATTGGTTAGGAAACAAATTACTCCCTTCCTTTTTTATCAGAATAGAGTGATTATGCATGCAAAATTTCCTTCAATTTATCATTCTAAATAGGTAATATTACATAATCAATCATAGCCGGAGATCTTATTTGTTCTTTCATGTCGACGGCGGAGGAGATGAGTGCATTGGGCGGGAAAATAATTCCCCTGCTTTTAAGAATAGAGTGATATGGTGCATTATACGCATAAGTATAGGACCGGTTACTCATTCGATTCGGTGCTCCTAAGCTCGAAACGGAAACCCAACTAATTTTGACCAATTTAACCGACTTATTTTTAACGGTGGGGTTCTCATGACATTGGAGCCCCATGTCATGGGATGACCCGAGAGTGTTTCGGTGTCTTGTTCGTAAAATTGATGGTGCATGTCTCTCCTAATAGTCACATAAAAACCATCATTCCGCCCTGAACCAAACACACTCTTCCACTCCTTCAAATGTACCCCAAGTTAATTTTGACTTTGGAGTCAAAATTGACTCCAAAATTAAAATTAACTTGAGGGTGCAATTGAAGGGGGTAGGAGGGGGTGTTCGGGTCGGAGCGGAATAAGGAGTTTACAGGGAAGGTTAGGGGGTAAGAACTGTCAATTTTACAAATAGGACATCGGAGCATCCCAGATCATCTCATGGCATTGTCAGACAATGTCATGGGAGCCGCCTTGTATTTTTTAATCATGCCTTACTAATTGAAACCAAAACCAAGGTTGGCTTTTTGTGATGGATGTACACAAATTTTTTAAAAGTACTCTCTACATCCCAAATATTCATGTAGTTTAACTTTTTTGAGTCGACAAAATTTAATTACTTTGTATCAAGAACTCTCAATTTGTATCACATATTAATACAATGAAATAAAATTTTAAAAATTCTAATCAAATTAAATCTAAGAAAATTATTTTTACAATAATATTCATCGTAGTTTTTACTCATGCTTATTTGAAACTCAAAATACGTCTAGTTTGAATAAAAAAGTCAAACTGGATGAACGACGAGATAGTAAATTTTAAACCCATTTTTGGGATAAAAACACAAGTCATTCTCCCTATTTTGATTTTTTCTCAATGTTTTACTTGTATTTTACACTTTCTCCCTCAACTATATACTCCAAAACAAAAAATACACACCACATTCCCGCGCAGAACACTAGATGGATTTGCAACATAAGCCTGATACGAATAATACACATACTTACACATTTACACTTTTTATTACTCAAAACTTGAGCAGGAATGAATATCTTGATTTTTAAAAGAACACGGGCCTGGTGCTGGAGCACCTCAGAGTTCATCGTGAAATTGGGTCTCCCGCGCATTTGATTTTTTGTGTAACCGAAGAAGGTATGTTGCTGCCAATGATGCATGTAAAGCTGCACCATAAGGTAGCACGTCTTCGTTCAATTCAAAGAAGGGGGAGTGTGGAAGCACGGTTCCTCCCCGAGTATCATTAGCCATCCCAACAAAGTAGAAATAGCCAGGAACAGCCTCCGCGAAAAATGAAAAATCTTCGGCACCCATTGTCGGTTTTCTTTCCAAGATTTTCTTAGCACCCACCATGTGTTCGGCAATGCTAAAGAAGTGGCATTGCACCTTTGAACGGCCGCTTGTCTCACAATAACCTGCTTATTCAGCTCATCAATTCTTTATTACCAATAACATGTTACTGAAGAGAATATAAAATAGGGTGTTGCAATATCCACTCCCATTTTGACTAAATCCACCCCTTTTATGTTAAATGGACAATTTTGCCCTTAAAAGTGAGCTTTCATCTAAATGTTCTCTTTTGTATTTTGTATGGACAAAATTATCGATTTACCACAAAAGGGTGGATTTAGCAAAAATAGGAGTGGCTATAGCAACACCCTATAAGATAACCAAAGATTTATTATTCTTAACACCTCAAAAAATTATGCATTCATTCACTTTATAGAACATGTTATTTGTTTAAGCTGAACAAGATTATTTTTTGAAAATGCCCTGAATGTACCACCTATAGTTACAGAATCCGGTATAACATTGAATGCATTGCCACCTTGGAACTTTGATACAGTTACTACCTGCAAAAGAACAGGGGAATATATGATGCCATGATGGTATGACTTAAACAGAGATCTGTTATATAGGCTATAAAAGATGGCCTTACTATGAAAGCAAGTGAACAAAATAGAGATACTATGGCAATATGCAATATGGACGTCAGATGAAGGGGAGCCTTGGAGGACCAATTGAGAGGTCTGCTTATATGTAAGACCCTTCTCTGAACCCTAACTCAACGGGGATGCTAAGCACGCATCTTAGCCAAGTTAATAGAAGAATGCCTGAGGCATGGCTTGGTATAGATTTCCGCATGCCCTGTGTGTATCTCTGTATTTGTAAGAGCAATCAAGATAGATGGGTAGACAATACCTGTGAATCAAGAGGATCAGCCTCCCGTGAAACTAGGTGTTGCAAACTGACAATTATGCTTGAAGCTGCTAAGATTGGGTCTATGGTATTCTGAGGAATAGCCGCATGACCCCCTTTTCCACTAATTTGTGCACTAAAGAATCCACTCCCAGCCAATATAGGGCCCGGACGGATGGCAACCGTTCCAACAGGATGAATAGGACTGACGTGCAGACCGAAGATGGCATCAACACCCTCGAGAATCCCAGCATCAAGCATTCTCTTTGCACCTCCCCCTCCCTCCTCAGCAGGTTGGAAAACCAAAAGGACGGTCCCCTGACAAAAAAAATGGAAGCATGCCCTTGAGACTTAAAGAAAGGAAAGTAAGGTGAGCATCCACCCTACATAGCTCATCTATTTAATTATTTATATTTTTGGGGTTGGTTCTATGGACTCTATACCTCCAATCATCTACTCCCTCTGTCCCCTGAAAATGTGTTCCTTAGTCAAAAATTCCCTTGCAAATTTGGCCGCCCCCATTGAAGAAATTTACACAGAGTTTACAAGAAAATATATGAACATTAGCTAGGGCAAGAAGTACTCTTGCAAAGGGAGTGTCTCTTTTATGTTCTTTTTTTTTCTTTCTATTCAACAAATTAACTTTATTTTCATTTCCTTTCTATTTCTATTCAATAAGTTCACAGGATAGCTTGTGGAACATTCACAGGAAAGCTGATACTTTATGGATTCATGGGGTCCATGGAGTCAACCTTCATGCAAGGTCCATCATCCATGTGGGAGTGGCAATCCCCACACGAGGGACATCAAGCTTTTAAAGAAAATGGCTAGTATCTGTGACACCTTGGTATCTTTGGTCAGTTTGGTGATGTTGATAGCACCATACTTGGCCTCCAGAGTATGTGTGTATTGTGTAAACAAGAAGCTAAGCTGTGGATAGGTTTATGATTTACTAAGGCACAAGTTCTCATCCATGGTGTGGCTGGCAGCTGGCTCTCAGAGGCATGCTTTCAACAGTAAGCCAATTCAGACGCCTTGGGTGTGGACAAGCGATGTCGCCTTTGTCATGTGCATTTGGTACCTGCTATTCACCTTTTATTCTCGTGTTCAGTTAGTAAGGCTGTTTAGAATAGAGTACGCAGCTGGCTAGGCCCTAAATCTCATATGAGGACGCTCGCGAGAGTGGAGAGATTGCTTCCTAAAGAGCATTGTGTGGGCTAGTGAAGATCAAGGCCACCAGATTGCCATTCCATTGTACAGTTTATATGATACTGAAGGTACACAGCGGGGTGTGCTTTGATGGTGCCAAATATACTACAGACGACATTTTTGCTAAACTTAGGGTCATGGTGTATACAGTTATCGCAAACAAATTGAGAGAGTTAAATTTTGTTATACACAAAAATTGAGGAAACCGCCTCTTTACTTTCGAGTTGAGGTAAGGTCTGCACACACACCCTCTCCAGACCCTATTTTTGTGTGATTTTATGGGGTTAGTTGTTGTTGTATTACTTGTATGCAAATAAATATAAAATTATATCTATGTTTTGGCAATTTTCAAAAGTTAGAACTTACTACAATAAAAAAATTATACTCCGTACATTGGAGGGACGAATATCTTTTATGTATTCAAACATTGGACGATACGAAAGACAAAGTATAACCAGTGCAACCTTAAATGCAAGTATATAACCATATAAAAGAGGTTGTGAAGTAAATACAGAATGACTAACACATGATTAATTTAAGCAATGAAGAGCCAAGAGCCCAAAGAAAACATTAATTTAAAGAAATATAAACAGTATCTTTTCAGTTACCTGCTAAAACTATCCTTACATTAGTAGTAATAAAAATACAATGGTCGATTATGAAAATGGGCAGTTTTTAGCATTCGAAATGGTAAAGCTCCTGGACCTAATGGGTTTACTTAAGCTTTCATTAAGGATCAGTTGCACATTGTTGGGAAGGATGTCTTTGATGTTGTGTCTAAATTCTTCTCTAAGGGGAAGCTCCTTAAGCAAATCAACCATTCTGTCATTGTGCTGATTCCTAAAAAGAAGATTAATCCTGGAGTGAAGGACTTTAGACCAATTGCTTCCTCAAATGTGCTGTATAAAGTCATTACCAAAATTCTTTCCAATAGGATGAGTCCCCTCTTGCCTGCCTTGATAGATCCTGCATAAGCAGCCTTTATTGGAGGGAGATCCTTGGTGGATAATGTATTTCTTGCGCAACACTTGGTGAGGGGGTATGCCAGGCACAGAATTTCACCTAAGTGTATGGTTAAACTTGATATCACCAAGGCATATGACACTGTTTCCTGGGCCTTCCTCAACGATGTCATGATTGGATTGGGCTTCCCTTTTGTGAGTCTTGTGATGGAATGCATTACTTCAGCATCCTTCTCTATTTCACTTAATGGGGGTATGCATGGATTTTTCAAAGGGCAAAGGGGACTTAGACAAGGTGATCCCATGTCCCCAAGCTTGTCCATCATGTGTGTGGAGTATCTCTCTAAATTGCTGAATGTGAATACTAAACAGAACATCTTCAATCATCATCCTCTTTGCGCAAAGCTTGGTATCTCATATGTGGCCTTTGCTGATGATATTATGTTGTTTAACTCCTTGCATCACTTCACCTCGGTTTCTGGTCTCCACAATCCTCAGCAATGTGCCATTGATCCTTAAAGAAAGCTGAAGTAAACCCATCAGGTCCAGGAACTTTATCATTCCCAATGCTAAAAACTGCCTCTTTCACTTCTGACATGGTGACTTAAAAACTGTATGCATTTGGTAGGCTATGGCTGTTTTTACTTTGTAGGTTGATGCTTTGTTGTTTGACCTGAGCGCCATCAGGGGGCTGTCCTTTGGTGTTGGTCTAATTTGCTGTGTCACGCGTCTTAGGCTTGTTGCCTATGGTAGTTCAGTACTGCTCTGGGATGCCGGTTCTATGATGTTATTTTCTTCAGGGTAATAAAACTTACATGTTACCCGCCTATGTACAGGGTAAAGACATAGTTCAAGAGCCATTATCCTTCAAAAGATACTCTCCCCGTCCCTAAGAGAACTTGACAGTATGACTTCACAAACTTTAAGTAAGATGTTGAATAGTTAAAGGTGTTTGGTGAAAAATAAAAAGTGTGGTTGAAATTTATTTTGATGGTAGAGATATGATAAGAGCCACATATTCATTTCCTAAAACGAAAGTGGAGAAGCATAAAATTCTTTTAAGGATGACCAAAATAGAAAGTTCAAAGTTCTTTTAGAGACAGAGGGAGTACTAGGAAGCATTGATTTTATCGTTTTCCCAAAGGATGCATAAAGCATAGGTGTAGTTCAAACTTCATACCTCTGCCCCCTTTCCTAGAAATAAATTTTGGTATAGTAATAACCAAACTAACTATGATTGAGCAACTACCCATACAAAATTTGGCAAATGAAAAACTTGAACAATGATAAGTAGGAGTAGATAACATCAATTATCAACTCAGAAATCACAAATAAAAGGTCAACATATAAAGAAGTAAAGAACTAAAAATGCAAAGAATGTGAACCTGCAATTCATTTCGGTGTTCTTGAAGTAATTTTGCAGCACCGAGAAGCATAGCAACATGAGCATCATGTCCACAAGCATGCATTTTTCCAGGAAATTTACTCTTATGCTTCCACTCTACCTTCTCCTGCATAAATACAAAAGAAACCAAAATTAATAAAACACTTGTAATACTGCTCCACCATCCACAGCATGTTTTAGAATCACAAGCAATATAATTGAAGGGGATCCTTGGTGCACTGTGTACACGTTGAAGTGTTTTCGTGTGACCTTAACGTCACGGATCCAAGTCTTGATGCAACTTCTTGCAAAAATGCAAGGCAAGTTTTTCCTGCATATTCAAGTCTGGATGCAGCATCTTGCAAAAATGCAAGCATAGTTTTTCCTACATCACATTCTCTATGGTGGGACCGCTCCCGAGCCCTCGTTTAACGGGGATGCTTTGTGCACTACCATGCCATTTCGCAAGCAATATACCCCGCTTTCCTATTATGTATATTAAGAATGGGATGCCCTTTCACAAGCAGTATAACTCCTTCCGTCCTAAAATTTTATCCTCACATTCTTTTTGAAATGTTTTAAATTTCTCTTTTTGTTTCCATTTCAGAAATAATGGATGTGGCTCACATTTGTTCTATCATTTCTAAATAAACCATAGTCACAACAATAAAAACTACAAACTTAGGCACAAAAGCACGCATGCAGAAGCAGCAAACTAAGGCACAATGACTACCCTACCACCCCCTAATTGGAGGCCTTTAGAAACTTATATCTAAGGTCATATCATCGGTTTGATCTTCAAGTCGTAAATCATGTCTAATCACCTCCTTCCAACTCTTTTTGGATCTAACTGATATATCCCCGGGTACTACCAATGATCCCAAAGTCCTTAAACAAATCAATGGAATAATGACTAGGTATTATGATCCTTTTTGGAATGAATTCATCAACAAACCTCAAAACCTAGCCATAATTTTTTTGGACTTCTCCACCCCATTGAGGCTGAAAACCCCCCTGCACAAAAAATCAAACCCCAAAAATCCAAACAACCCAGCCTCTTACTTTCTTTGGACAACACTACCACACCCTATGAACCCCACATTGTCCCTTCATTGAATTAATACACTCCTGGCCAAAATTCCTTGCCAAACCACAACCAGTTAATTCACTTCATTCCCCCCATATGAGGGCTGAAAATACCAGCCAAAAACCCCTCTTATTTCACATAATTGACCTGCCATTGTCCCCCCTTATGTTCCCCAGAAAATCTGCATTCTGCACAGCCCTGACCCACCACCAACCCAATCCACCCTCTCTTGTTCCCTGCATAACACCCAGGATATACATCCAAAAGGACAGCCAGGCCATTCCTCTCTTTTTTTTCCCCACTTGGCTGAAAAGACCTCACCAAAAAACCAATCAAGGTATGGATTTCACTCACACATGCCTGGCCAGTCACTAAAAACTGAAACTCCAGCCCCACAAACCCATCCCCATCTCTGATTTTTCCCTACCAAAAGGACATTAATAAATGGTTGTTATTCCTTTAGATTTGTGTGAAGGAGATGCTTGGTAGCTTCCCTTGTGTGTGTATTTATATTTCGGCCTTGGGCCTTGCAAATCCATTCAATGTATTCTCCTTTTCTTTAGTAATACACTTATTGTGTTTGCTATTTAAATTCCTAAATCTATATCTTAAGAGTGGTTCTCTTGAATGTGAGTTTTAGGTTCTAGTTATTTAAATGAGTGTGTAATATCTTATTTGAATGCTAGACTCCAACCCCAAGTAAGGATAAGAGTGTGTAATATCTCTTAAACCAACTTGGTTTATCAAAAAAAAACACCAAAAGAAACTCCTGCCCTTTTTCTTTCTTCAACTCAGCCCTTCCATTCCCTCCTCTAAAGACAACTCATTTTCACCCTTATACAAAATATAGTCTAAAACCTATCCTCCCTTTGCTTCCATTTTCTGATCAGGACATCCCTCCTCTAAATACTTCCATTTCTTTACTTAAATCTTCTTCCAAAACCAACCCAAGACACCTACTGTCTCCCTGAATCCATTCAGCCCTGATTCCCCCTCCTTCCACCTTGAGTTGAAGCCTAACACTAACTCTACCCCTCCACATGCCCCATACCTCAAGCCTTTCACACCACCAAGCTAAGGCATCCATACTTTTCTTGAGCACGTGTCCATACCATCTCAGTCTAGCGTCTGAGAGTTTAACAACCACACCTACAATCCCAAGAATATCCTTATTCCGAATCTTTATCCATCTTTGTATGACTGTAGATCCACCTTGCATCCTTATCTCAACCACTCGTAGCCTCCGAACATGAGCATCTTTCACCATCACTAATCTAAAGAACATAGCTGGTATGACCGCGGCCCAATAAAACTTCCCTTACAAGTTTGTCGATATCCTCTTGTCGCAAGGGACATCTAAAGGAAACTTCCACTTTGCTCAACCAACACTAATGTGACGGACAACAATCAACATCCCCATCTACCTTGAGTACCTCCCCATCAGCGTGAATGACGGATCCAATGTACCAAAGTTTGTCCATATTAGACACTGGATGTGAATCAATCATCACTTCCACTTCTGACTCGTTCATCCTACCAGTGTACCACCGAAGCACATTCCACACACTCGATCTTAGTCGTGTTCAATCTGAAACCTTTGCATTCCAAGGGCTATCTCCACACTTTTAACCCATCATTGAGTTGCTCTCGTGTCTCATTAATTGGAACATCATTCGCCAACAACATGCACCAAGGTGCCTCCCCATGAATATGTTGCATTACAATATCTATCACCAAAGCAAATAACAAAGGACTGAGGGCAGACCCAAGATAGAACCCCATTTCCACCATGTCCGGAGTTACCACCTGACGACCTCGCCCTGGTCCTTGCCCCATCATAGATGTCCTTCACAGCCCGAATATAAGCAACGAGTATTGTACTCTAGGCGCCTCCATAACAACTCCCGAGAAACCTTATCGTAAGCTTTCTCCAAGTCAACAAATAACTTGTGTAGACCTCTCTTTTTGTCCCTAAATTGCTCCATCGGTCTCCTCAAGAGGTGAATGGCTTTTGTGGTCGACCAGCAAACTTAGAAGGTGCCAAATTAAATACTACTCATAACCACACAATTTTAATTTCTTAATAAACATGCCAAGACAAAGTGAGAAGGTAATCTTAGGATCACTAGTCTCCTATAACCTAAAAAAAATGAAATTTAGACTACTATTATATTAACCAAATGGTGAACTGATATAATAATTACATTAACAAAACATGATCAGATCTTGAAGATGCATAAAATTTGAATATGCACAAAGGAACAAGAAATGAAAACTCAAATAAATATAAACAGGAAATGAGTTTAAGGAACCTCAATAGGGAGAGCATCCATATCTGCTCTGATGGCCACAAAGGGAGGGTTTCCTGTTCCAATAGAGCCCACTATACCGGTAACAGCCAAAGGATGAGTATAGGGAATCCCCAGTTTTTCAAGCTCATCTCTAATCAGTCTACTGGTCTCGAACTCTTCAAAGCCAAGCTCCGGATTCTCGTGGATGGCCCTTCTAATTTTGACCATCCAATTGAAAAGGTCCTCCTTTTTTGCTGATTGCAGGAAATTGATTGAGATTTCAGCCTGAGAGCCGTTTCCATTATTAGAATCTGAGAAAACGAATGTTGAGAGGTAGAATAGGAGTGTGGGAACTGCAAAACTCCATTGTTGACGACGCATGTTATGAGTGCCCAAATTGAGAGAGACTGGAAAAATGCTTTTCCAGTTTGGTAATATAGCCTATTATTCTTGGGGCTTGACCACTCTATTCTGTACGTAGTAAACGTATTATCACTGGGGCTTACGAGTTAGTATATGGTACAACAGGTTGTACCTAAAAATAAAAATAGGTACATCCCGGTAGTACTCATTCTGAAGTAAAGTAGTACTTATTCTCGCACAAACATAACAATTTATTTAAAATAGCGTGGTACTCATTCTGAAATAACACAGTACTCATTTTGAAATACGTAATACTCATTTGCACACATTTGTACAATATTCATTTATTAATAACGTAATACTCATTCTAAAACCTATTAATACTCATTCTCAAATAATCTACTGCTCATTCTTAAACAACATATTATTCATAAAATCCAAAATCTTACTAACCAAATTGGAATTAGAACATACTGAGTATTTGTAATTAGAGCTTTGCCTACCAGATCTGCAGATCGGGAGAGCTTCTTCATCGCCGATAGATTTCTCAGATCTTCCTCCTTCCTCCCGACCGATTTTGCCCGAAACTGCAGCAGATCTCCTTCTTCATCGCCTCAGATCGATTTCTTCTTCCGCAGCTCTCCTTCGACGCAGCTTCCGACCCGACCCGACCCTCCTCTTTTCTCCTCCGATCAACGCATTTTCTTCTTTAATTTACCGGCTGTACCCAATTTTGGGTACAGCCGGTTGTACGGTATAATTTGCGGGGCTTGACTGCTCTGAGTTTGTTCAGTTTTGGCGGTTCGATTTTCATCCAAAACCAAAGATAAAATAAAAGATAAATTGGTGGTTGGATACTTCGGTTTGATTCGATTTTACATAAAAAAAATATGTAAATTGTTGGTTATTTGGTTCGGTTTTATATGGTTTTTATTTCGATTTTTTTTGTTTTTTCGGTTTATAAAAGTAAAAATTTATAAGCATTAAAAAATTGTAAAAACACTAACTCGATGAAATAATAACAATACGTAATGTTAGCTTTGGTTTTTCTGTTTGATTTTTACACAAAAACAAAAACCAAACGGAAGGTTATTACTCATTTCGGTTCAATTTTACATAAAAAATACGTTGAGTGCCCAAAAAACATGTAGAAGATTCCAAATGCTTTCAAAGACATCGTATGTAAAATCAATTACGAATAATTTATATTTTTTGGTATAATACTTTCAATTTCATTATAACATCAAAGTATTTTTTATGTAAATATGTAAATTACTCGTATCAATTTTTAATGTTAATATAATTTATATTAGGATTGGCTATTAGTGTTTATATTCATAGGTTTTTTTAAAGTTTATAATAAAATGGCTAGAATGTTTAATTAATAGTTAAGAAAATAATTTTAATAAACTAGTAATATATTTGCATTTATATTTCTATGATTTTTCTACATATCACATATATTCATATAAATAAAGCGAAGTTTCCAACAAAGTTCAGTTTATTCGGTTCAGTTCGATTTTTCAAAGTGAAAACCAAAACGGAACCAAACACTAACGATTCGGTTTTATTACATTCGGTTTCGGTTTTTTCGATTTGGTTTTTTTTTCTAGCTCATTTTGATCGATTTCGATTTGGTTTGCGGTTTTTGGTTTTCACAACCCAGCCCTACTCTATTATGTACGGAGTATGTGTCATGTGGCTTGTTCCACTCATCAAGCCCACATCACTTGTGGGTGTGTAAGGGGCTAGATCAATTTTCTTATTTGTAGATATTATTTTTTATGAACATATAAATTTAAATATTACTCTAAACATAATTTGAAATAAATATTTATATATAAAATTTGAGAGTTCGACTTCTGGAATTGCGACCCGTGACAGTTTACATGGCATTTTTTTACAAATCATCTGCCACCTTTGATGACTTTGATAACATGGCAATTATGACATGTCACACGCTTACTATGAAATTTTTTGACATGTCAGCACGCTATGTCATTAAGTGATATTTAAAGAATTAGTTAACAAAAAAAAATATTCTATGGAAATTAAGTTTTGTATTGGTTACACATAAATTCCTCAGCATAATCGTATTTAAAAACTTTTATATCTTAATTCATTGTTGTAAAATATTTAAATTAAATAATATATTTTTGAAATTGAAAAAAAGAACTCATATTCAAAAACAATAATCAAAACAAATAAATTTATTTTAAGAACGGATAGATTGGTAGGATTAAAGGAGATTACATGTGAATATTTGTTATTACTTTGAATTAATACTAATTGGAGAGATTTTCCCATTTTTTGAAAAAAGAGAAATAAATATACAAAAGGAAAGGAATTTTTATTGGCGTGTTTATTTAATAGAGCATATTTAACAGAGCATTAATTTTATTCCGTATATATTAAAAGAACTCTAAGTCAAATAACAAGTGTTTTCTATTTTGAAATTAGTATTTTTCATTTTTAAATTATTATTTTCCATCACTAACTTTGTAAAAATTTATAAATTCGTGTCACAAAATTACTATTTTCTATTAATAACTTTGTAAAATGATGAAGACTTGGTACATGGGTATTTATGTGTAAGAAAATAATTATTAATTGGTGTTTCTAATCAAAATATTTATAGTATAACATTAATTGTTATAAGTGTAATTACTGTTAAATAAAATTCTTGGAAATGGAAAATATGCTTATTTTGACATCTTTGTCAAAAAATATAAATAAGTAATATTCTTGTTTATTTATTAATCCGACCATCGACCACATTGTGACAAATATTAGTGGATAATAGAAATTTTTCATGTTTAAAGTTTTTAGATAAAAGTATTTACAGTATCTATTTTGTGATGGTTATTACAGATGCAAAAAGAGAGGGATCGTCATCGGCTATAGCTTCGCATCATCAAACACGTTCGATAAAGAATGTACTGTATGATTTCACAAATGTTATTTTTATAATTCTGAATTAAATATTTAATTTTTTCAATTTCCCCCAAAAATTATCTATATAGTTCTTCAATCAGCAAATATTTATATATACACTTTATCACACTTTCAAGTGTATAAGAGACAAAAGAGAAATGATATATCTTATATAACATATGCTTTTAATATCTTTGAAGATGATAGTAAACAATTATCTCTGTGTATTAACTAATTATATGTATAAGATATTATAAACAATGTAAGAAAATACCACGTAAATTAATATGGTGGACACACTCAATATTTTATAAACTTGGAAAATTTTATGATGGATCTAAGGTCCAACAAGGACCTACATATGAGAAAATTAAGCATTTCCTTATTACTTAAATAAGCATTTGTTTTTTTAATTAAAAAATAAAAAAAAGTTTTTTTTATGTAAGAAGGTCCATAAAATGGTGTGCATCCAAGGTGCACCAAAGAAGCAATCTTTAAATTTAGATGTCGGGGTAGAAGGTTTATCTGTTTAAGATACATCAGTGGAATCATGTTTAGATAATTCAATATTTAGAGAAACAAAAATTAATACTCCGTAGTATTTATATATTATATATGCAATATGTAAGTTGTGTGGAATACTAAATATATACTCCCTCCGTCCCAGTTGAAACTTCTCGTTTTGACTTGACACGGGTTTTAATGTAAAGTGGAAAAGGAGATGAGTTCCCTATTTTGCCCTTCATGGCGTCACTTTTTAGAAAGCAAATCAAAAGAATAAAGTGCATAGTGCTCAATAGTGACAAAGTACAAAAGTTTAGATTTTTTTCCTATTCAATCATTACATACACATATTCATGTACATACACCCCACACGCATGATTCACATCTACAAAAGTGAAAGAATATTTCCCTTCAAAACACCCAAAACACATTAAAAAAATTAAAACATGGAGGAAAAATGTGCTACACATATTCTCTATAAATAATCCTTCCAAAAATAGCAACACATGCCCAGTCTTCTTATTCTTCCTTTCCTTTTCTTCTTCCAATTCTTCCTTTCTTTTCTTTTTTTCTTTTTTTCCCTTAAAAAACTGCAACCTTACTTCTACCACATGTCCCTGCAAACAGAAAATGATGGTGAAGAAACCCAGGCAAAAGAAAAAAGAAAACACAGATTGAGCAATAATGAAACACATATTTAGCTATACCATATTTTATTTTCCCTTTAGAGATCATGTTTTTGAGGATCACACATTTATTTGTAAATTTTAGAAAGCTTTGGTACAATATCAAGAAAGAACCAAATGAATAAATAGTTAGACATCTGTATTCATCTAATTAAGAAAGAGACATCATCATTGCAAAAAGAGATGAATTTTTACTAAAAGTCCATGAGACACACACTCTTTCAGTCTTCTGCAGTAATCTTTTGTTGTTTTCTTTTGCGAAGTATGAATATCAAAAAAATATCTCTATAAGGGAATTATTTTTTTGTAAGAAAAAATGTAAAGCATCAGAGAGTACCAATGAGAGAATTTGTTGTATTTCAAATACAAGAAAGAGAAAATGATGATGGTATTGTGTTGATTGCACAAAAATTGTATTTAGAATTTTTGGTAGATGCATACACAATAGTTGATTACAAAGAATCATATATTGTATGTGGTTAAAATAATGACTTTTAGAAAATAACTTGTTTTCAACCGTCATTCTTCATAAATCATTTTTCATGTTTTTCAAACCGACATAAAAATTATATTGACTTAGTTTGTTTTCTTCATCTTATCTAAATGAATTTTATATAATTGAAATAAATTTTGATATTGTCTGATCTGAATATAATTATATTTAAAGCTGTTCTGATCTGGTGTGATCTAAACTGAAATGATTCTCCAATAAGAAAAAAAGTACTCACACTGTCACAAATTAAATCGTCTATTTTGATTTACGATGTTTGACTTGAGTTATTTTCATATCATTTTATATGAAAATGGAGTACACATTTAAAATTACATCAAATATTTTACAAAACTAGTGGTGACATGACTATATTATTTTATTAAATAATTAATAAAAATAGAAAAAAAAGTAAATAAAATTTAATCACATAAACATTTAATTTAATTTGGGATTAAAAAGCAAGCCCTGCCTCTTTAGATTAAATTTGACGCAGATGGGGATTTTCTCATAGGCTTTTACAGAAATCCCCATTGATGGATTTGGATTTGCAATCCTGTGCTCGTTTAGTGAACAGCATCAGTCCCCCTGATTCCCATTTACTAGGAAAAAAGCTCCATCTTCTTTTCTTTAAGAGGGGCGTTCTCAGTTCCGTTCTCACTGTAGCCAACCGCTTTCTCCAAATGTATGTAAGGTGTGGGCAGATTTCTGATGCGCGGAAGTTGTTCGATGAAATGACCGAGAGAAACCACTTCTCCTGGAACACCCTGCTAGAAGGGTACCTGAAATGCGGGATGCTAAGTGAATCGCTGCGTCTCTTTTCTCAAATGGATCAAAAGAACGATTTTTCATGGAATGTGGTCATCACGGGCCTTGTAAAAGCAGGGGAGCTAGAAGCTGCCCGGCGTCTTTCGTACGAGATGCCCAGGAAGAACGCTGTCGCGTGGAATTGTTTGATTGATGGGTTTTCAAGAAATGGATTATCCGGTGTTGCTCTAAGGCTGTTTAGGGACTTTTCTTATTCGAATGACCGTGAGGTGTCCGGCATTGATTCCTTTATTTTGACTACGGCTCTCAGGACTTGTGCGGACTTGGGAAGTATTCGTTTGGGGAAGCAGATTCATGCTCGCATTGTAGTTCATAAACTCGAGGTTGATTCTACATTGGCTAGTTCACTAGTTAACATGTATGGCAAGAGTGGTGATCTGGATAGTGCCCACCATGTTTTGAGCAGAGAACAGTTCCCTGATGATTTTTCCTTGTCTGCCATGATCTTAGCATATGCAAGATGTGGTAGAATGAATGACGCGAGACAAATATTTGATTTTAAAGTTAATCGCTGTGTTGTTTTGTGGAATTCAATGATATCAGGATACATGGAAAACAATGACGTGTCCGAGGCATTTTTCATGTTTAATGAAATGCACAAAGAGGGAATTACAGCAGACTCCTCAACTATGGTCGCTGTTTTGAGTGCGTGCAACAGCGCACAAAGTGTAGAGAATTGTCAGCTCGTGCATGGTCTGTCTTGTAAGCTTGGATTACTAGATGATCTAATAGTTGCTAGCTCTTTAGTCGACACATATGCGAAATGTGATTGTTTTTGTGATGCGTGCCAACTTTTCAATGATCTTAAAGTTCACGACACTGTTTTATTGAATTCTATGATCACCATTTATTGCAGTTGTGACCTAGTTGAAGATGCAAAGTGCATTTTTGAATCTATGCCGCACAAGAGCTTGATATCATGGAATGCAATGATAGTTGGTTTCTGTCAAAACGGTTTGCCAAGAGAAGCCATTGATATATTCAACAAAATGAATAAGATGGATGTGAGGATGGACAGGTTTAGCTACACAAGCACGATCAGCGCATGTTCAAGCATCTCTTCTCTTGAACTAGGTGAACAGGTTTTTGCCAGAGCGATCATCACAGGGGTTGATTCTGACCAGGTTTTTTCTACTGCCGTACTTGATCTATACTGCAAGTGTGGCTTAGTAAAACAAGCTAGGAAGATATTCGACCAAATACCAGTGCCCGACGAGGCTTTGTGGAATTCTATGTTGATGGGCTATGCTACAAATGGCTATGGAACTGAATCGTTGAACTTGTTGTGCGAAATGAGACAGGCAGGCGTCTTGCCTACGGATATCACATTTACGGGAGTCTTGTCTGCTTGTGATCACTGTGGGCTTCTCGAGGAAGGAAAAAAATGGTTTCTTGCAATGAAAAATGATTACCATATTGACCCCGGCATTGAACACTACTCGTGCATGGTAGATCTGTACGTTCGAGCTGGGTGTCTGGAAGAGGCCGTGAACATCACTCAGACAATGCCATTCGAGGCTGATGCGAGCATGTGGTCATCGATTCTGAGGGGATGTGTCGCTGTTGGTAATGAAATCCTTGGGAAAGTAGTCGCGAAGAAGATTATAGAGCTCGATCCTGCGAATTCGGGTGCTCTGGTTCAACTGTCAAACATGTATGCAACTTCTGGGAAATGGGAAGAATCGGCTATGGTTTGGAACTTGATGCAAGAAATGGGAGTTCATAAAATTCCTGGACAGAGCTGGTGAGACTTGTAATGAGATGTTGTGTCTGGCTTTGCACCCTCACTGGAATGAGGGGGAGGGGGGAGGGGGGGGGGGGGGTACAAAAACAAAGAAAGATCTCAGTTCAATGAGCCAACAAACCAGAGAAATTCCACAAGCGGGAAAGGTCTGTGGAGTATATTACTAAATTTCCTCTGGTAGATTTTCGAACGCGGTACATACGAAAATACTGAACATCCTCATGCATTTCAATTTTCAAGTGTAAAACATTTGAATAAACTCCAACCTTAATTGCTACCATGTTATAGGCTATAGGGGTAGTGGCCCCCAGTCAATTTTTTTTATATAGTGAAAAAAATTTGTGGTTATTTAAAAGATCGTCGTAGTAAAAAAATTGTGCCCCCAGTGCTAAAAGAAAATAATAGTTTGAACTTTCAATGTAAAATATATTCCGTAATTATTTAAATAAAATTTGAAATATTTGAAATATAATGTTTGTATTAGGTGATGATAAATTTTATATTGTAATTTTCTATTTTAGAAATATTTTTATTAACAATTTGAATATTTGTTTCAAATTAAACTTATTTGTTTTTCGTCATTATAAATAGCCTTTAAAGAATTTGGAGATGCTGCCCTTGAACTCCTACATTAACTCTTTACTATGAACTAGTATCACACTCGTGCATTGCACGGGTCATTTTTACGATATTAAATTAAGATCATTTTTCAATGCTAAACAAAGAGATGTAGTAGAATATAGAAATTATATTAATTTAAGGTACAAAATATCGCTGTTTTACAAATTTTGAAAGACTTCTTAATATAATATATTATTTGTACAATTTGTGGGAACATTGTCTTCGTTGCATATCAGAATCTTCAATCCACTACGATTAGTTACTCTTGAAACTGTAACATATATTTGTTCATGACTAAACACCGGTTTTCGTAACAATAATCCAACATATTTTAGAAATTGTCCCTGGCTCTTGTTAATTGTCATTGTGTATGAAGTAACCACAAGGAATTGTCTTCTTTGAAACTTAAACGGAATTCTTGTATCGGATGGTGTTAATGATAGTCTTGGAATAACGACTTCTTCACCCATGTGGCTTCCTGATAATATCTTTCCTTGTATTGAATGAATAGCCAACCGGGTTACTATCAACCGCGTACCATTAAAAAAACCCATTGAATGGTCAATATTTCTCAACAACATAATAGGTGTGCCTACCTTCAAAGTTAACTCATGATTCGATACACCAGAAGCACGAATCTTATTTAAGAATTTGGGAGAGTGTAAGTCACCGAAAAAACTTAAACAGTAGTCCGAGTTCTCAACCTTGTCAAAACTAAGGCTTGTTCAAGATTCGCTGCTTGGATTCATCGTTGTCATATATTCATTTGTGGAATCGAAGACATCCAATGTAGGAGCCAAAATTGCACGCACCTGCAAGTAGCTTAGTTCATTTACTATTTTTTAAAAGTATCGATAAGTTGAATTCATTATAGTAGCTATTGAATCTTCAAAAGACGGAAGCAACATGTCATCAAGAATTGTTACCTCAGCATAGTTGTCTTGTTCATCCCATGCGTTCCCGTTGCCGATACTCGCAATCCAATTGTTGAATTCAAATAAGCGATCATAACTACTATCATGAATCATTGATAGCAGTCGCATGTTTTTTCTCAAACGCAACACTATACAGTCTTCCCAAACGTATGAGGAATTAATCATTGAGTTAACAATGTCATGTCTTGTTCCTTTTGGAATAACCGACACAATTTGACGAAAATCTCCCCCAAAGACGATTGTTTTTCCTACGAAAGTTTGTTGTTCACTCATTGGATTAGAAAAACTTAGAATATCACACATACTTCTATCTAAAGCTTCAAAGCAATACATGTGTGTCATAGGGACTTCATCCCAAATAATTAATTTGGCCTTCACCAAGAGTTGTGCTAGTGCAGTGCCTTGTTTTAGGTTGCAAGTAGAATTTTCATCTAGAATTAATGGAATTTTAAAACGTGAGTGAGATGTTCTACCACCCGGCAACAATAATGATGTTATCCCACTTGACGCAACATTCATTACTATATCACCTCGAGATTGTATGGCAACATTTGTATGGCAGACATACGTCTTTTTGGTTCCTCCATATTCGTACAGAAAGAAAATTTTTCCTGCATTATAGCTTCATATGTTGCACTTTGTTCATCGTTCAGCGTACCCAAAAACTTGGTGTGCTCACTTGCCAATGCTATTCGGTCGTATTGCATTTCATAAAAAAATCAATCGATTGACTGAAGTCAAAATTATGTGGAGGTTTGCTTGAGGCATATTGGTACAATCGCGAAGGCTCTTAGCACGACTTCTAAGCAAGTCTTCAAGATCACATAGAATATAATTTTGAATCTCATCTTCAGTGAGCATTATACCTAATTAAAATGTAAAAAGTTTTAGTCATATTTTTTTTAAAATTATTATAATATTTGGAAAAAATAACTTCATGATCCAACAGACGATGTTACCGGTACAATACATCATCTGCCATACATTGTCAACATTGCTCCAAAACATGCCTTGGTCTCAACATTGATTCCGTTGTCAACAGTGTTACAAATAAATTCTACGTGGACCTTATAATCATGAAAGCACAACTCTAGAATTGTTGTTGGGCGTTGGGAATCCTGTGTTGTGTACGTCCCACACCGTAAAATAAAAATAATATGACACTCACATATAAAGAAAGGTGAATCACTATCAAATGACTTAACACTTTGGTTAGGAAGTAAATCCGGACTTTATATGGGGAAGTGGTCAAACCTAACCTGATGCTCTATCCGATTCACTCTCCACCGAAACTTTAACATGGTATCGAAGCCAAGTTTGGTTCAAGTTCAATTCGTCTTGATATTTAGGGTGCCCAAAGGAGCATTCATTAGGCGCATCCACACACAGCCCAAGTTTCAAGAGGATCAATTTTGTAGATTATTCTTCTATTATTCTACAACAAAATTTACATCTTGATTATAAAAATTCAAAAGGTATCTTAGAAAGTGTTGAAAAGTAAAAAATGCATGTGGTCATTGGTGTTATTTTTTAAAAGGCTAAAAATTGTGGGATACAAATTCTATTCTACTAAAAAATGTATAAACTTTGAAGCATGATAAATGAAGCAATGTAACTCATTCTAGGTACGGAGTATCATTCAATTAGACAAGAAATTGAGGCCTCCCTATACTTACCTCAAGTCCATGCATGTTATAAGTGTTCATCAATTCAAATAATAATAATATTGATATTGTAATTTTATAGTTTTATTAATTTAAATGTTAATTATATTGTGTACTTCGTATTTAACAAATACGTGATAATGAAAATTTTTTCATGTATAATTTTTATATTAGAACAATAAAACTTAATAATTTAAAAATTAAACAGAGCCTTCAAATATTATCAACATTGATTGAACAAACTTGTTTACCGGGCTAGGTATAAGAGATTGGGACACTAGACTCTTCCATCCAAACAGTAACCACTTGTGGGTGGGTGGGAGGGGGGGGTGTTGGGAGAGATGATCCAGACTTTATGTTGAAAAAAAAGTCAAATTTCACCCGACACTCTATCCCCGATTCACTTAGCCCACCGAAATTCTAACATTGGAAAATAAAAAAATTCAAATCTATACCGTCAATGGCTCTCCTCAAAGATTGATGAAGCGCAAGAGTTGTGTTATTATGTCCTAAAATCTAGATTCAAAAGTTTACAAAGAAATTTTCAAAATTTGAGATTTTAATATGTATACATTTCCAATGTAATTCTTTGACATAAAAAAAATTGATGTCCACATGCAAGGTTAGAGAAAAAAACAAATTTTTTGTTGGTTCTTTGACAAATTTGTTTCGAATAAATCCGACCCATAGTTTGTCTTTGTATGTGAATGTGGAACAATTATGAACTCTTCTACATACGTTATGTCCAGATTTTGACATTTTATTCTTTATATTTTCATCTCAAATGAAATCTGATCGTGTATGTATCACACGAGTACAAGTTTTTTTATAATGAAAAAAAAAACAATGCATTGAACATTTTTAAAAAGCTGTTGAGCACATAAATTATAAATTATTTTTTAAGAAATCACCCTAAATAGGAGTAAAACCTAGAGAAAGTATCAAAATAGGAATTCCATATTTTTATCTCCAAAATAAGAGTCCGCACTGTATATATAGACATTTCACAATACTTTTTTATAATGTATATGGTTATGATTGACACTGTAAATGTATTTTAACTCATATTTCAAGAATAAAAACTTGAAACTCCTACTTTAGTCTATTCCCCTAATATATTTTTTTAATTTTACAAGTAACAAATTCCAAAAAAAAAAATCACTCTTACCAAATGGTTTGAGGTCTGTGCTTCACCCAAGAAAACAACCATGCTAGGGGTACACCAAGAAGTGTACCCCAAATTTTAACAGTTCACACTGGCATAAAATATTAGCTCAATAAAAAAAATTGCACTGACATTTTGTGTCATTGTAAACCAACACACTAGTAGACACTAGCACAAAATGTTAGTGTATGCCTTCGGGGTACAAAGTGGTGTACACATTTTTGGGGTACTCATAGTTTAATCGGTGGGGTTCTAGTGACACCCACCTTTGGTGACACTAGCGGGGCCACTGTCATTTTGGAGCGCTTCCGGTGGGGGGTTTAGGGGATGGGTTAGGGGGTAGGAACTGTCAATCTTACGAACAGAGCACCGGAAGTGTCACCGTACTCAAGTGTCACTAGAACCCCACCGTAGTTTAACTCAAAAAAAGTCCTCTGGTTTATGATATACTCCTTAACTATCTAACAAGCTAAGAGGACATTTTGTTTTCCATTCCACCCATGGAGTTGAAGATTCAAAACTTAAATGTGTCAAATTTGGGAGTATTAACAGAAATACAGGGTTAATCCTGGAAATACCAATGATTCAGAGAAGAGTTTTCCAAGTGTTGCTTTACAAAATGAAGAGAGGGAATAAGGTGGCTCACATCAGACAGAAGAAGGAGAGGAGTCCGCTGATAGGGCAGCTGCTCTTTTCTTGGCAAAATATTCTTCTGCTCTGGCAAGGTTCTTAGCAACCGATGGCTTCACCCACTTTTTCCGCCCCGGTAGAACAGTCAGCGAGCAACCGGCCGCCTCGAGCTTCTGCTTTGCTGAGGCGGAAAATGCTCGGGCTTTCAACGTTAGCTTCACTCCAAGCTCGCCGTCACCTAGGATCTGAAAGTAAGAGGAATGTATATATATATTGAGATGTCACAACAGATCATGATTAGTGTAATAAGTGTGTAACTTCTATAAATGGTCCCTAGTAATAGTTGGTCCTTATTGATTATTACAAACGTAGTCCCCCTTTTTTTAGTTCCTTTCCACGGCTAGTCCTTTGTCATTCATGCTAAATACAAGGTGAAAAAGGTAATTTTTCCACCCACACCTCTCAATTAACCCCTCCCTCATCCTCATATACGCTTCTGTTTGCATGGTTAGGATGTTGTGTTCAGATTGTCCTCTGCGAAGAATACAGAAACAGTAACTTTTGGGTTTTCATCGAGAAAATGGGATGAGAAGTTACCTTTTTAACTCTGCATTGAATAGGCAGATAACAAAAGAAGTGACGGAGGTCTGCTCGTGACAAAAAAGCTAAGAAACGAGGACTACGTTTGTATTATTCGATAAGTAGGGACTAAATGGAAAACCAAATGTTACTAGGGACCATTTATGGAATTTACTCTTATGATTATATCGGAAATAGGTCTATTCCCTGACAAGGGATATAATTAAGACATGGTATTGAGTTAACATGATATAGGTTCTACATGCATGGAAAATATGGTGAGACAGAGATGAGGTGAGGTATTTGCTATTGTCATGTTTCATTACAAGCTTGATATTGTAAAATTAACTTGCAAATCATGGAGCATGAACTAAAAAAGATGATTTAAATCCTGTGTGAGAAATCAAGAAAGAGTTTTGCGCTTTGTTTGATAGGAACAAGAGGGGGACGACAATACCTATTTTGAGGTTAAGAAGATTTTCTTCTCCATGGTTTAGGTCCTTGAGGAACCCCAATTCTTGGAATGAAATCTTTCTATATACAGGACCATGGATAAGCATGCATGAAAATAGATGGACGAAAAAATTAGCTTGAAATGGAAAATCATTTCTAGTTTTCCAAACAAACCATTAGATGTTTTAGTTTCAGATAAAATGCTCAAATATAATTCAGCTATTATAGAACTCTCAGCCTACCATATCGCAAAACACAGTTTCACAAACAGAATAACGTTTTTATGACATCGGGTGATGAATATCAGATTATACTTCAACCCGTCTCCTAGTCGTGTTTCTTATTATTGCATCCACTATCTAGTGGGTGGCAGCTATTTAACGCCACCTGCTAGACTAAGATCCCTAAAAATATCAACAGATTTATAGAAAAATTATAGATTCTTATAGCATGGAAGTAAATACTAGTATATAGAAACAATTATCGCTACCTTTAGAGGTAACCTCTTTTCTCTTCCCGATGGATTTATAATGCCCTTCTCACTCAAGGATTCAAGTGACACCACTTCTCCTTCATGAAATCCAGCAGCTTCTATGTCTTTCAAGTTCACAGGGACATATTTTGGTAGTCCAGCACGCATACCTTTTAGTCACGTCGAGAAAACACCTTGTTAGTTTGTATTGATAAATTTGAGGGCACAGGGAATGCATAAAAAACAGTAATGTTCCAAAAGCTGAGCCATTTAGTCGGTAAACACATGAAAAGCCACTACGAAATGTATGACAACTATGCACACTATTGATAAACTAGCTATATATTAACTGGTACAAATGTACAGTATGCACATGTACAGGTATATAAGATTTCTCTGTCTATGCTGCAAGACTGCCGCTATTGGTCATCATAAACAGATAGTAACATAAACTCTCTAAAAATCATCAAACCAACAGCCAATACTTATGTTTTCCCGTTCATAGAGCCGTTGGCATATTATTCTGTGTGCCATTATGGCATTAAAAATCATCAAACCTAGAAAAAATATTCCTTCTTAATATTGAGGATACTCTCACATATTACACCTTGTGCTGTGTTAGACAAGGCGTGCAACTCTAGAGGGGGGTGAATAGAGTTGTTGAGAATGATTACCGATTTTCGCAGGATAAATAAAATAAACGTAAGTGCAGCGGAAATAAAAGAGAGAAGGCAAAGAACACACTGATGTATACTGGTTCACCACCTCGTGGCTAGTCCAGTTCCCCGAGAGACTCTCTCGAAGCTACCACTACTTTCGTTAAGCTTACGGGTGCTTAACAAACCGTTTACAACTCGAGAACTTGAATCCCACAAGCCTCGACACAACCGCTCGTAGATATGCTCTCTACAAGACTTCACAACCAAGACTTAAATCACATAAGCCTTGAACAACAAGAAGAACAATCTTCTTCAACCTCTCAGCAATAACTCTCACAAGAGTAGAAATGAGAAAAGATTAAGCTCTATGGATGACAAGAACACTCTCTTGAAAACACTTAGTTTTCTCTCAAAATATATCAA